GGGGGGGGGGTCCTACCATCCTTACCTAGGGGAATGGGAACTGGGGGGCCTGGGGTAGAAAGTGCACACACAGCCAACAGCATGGGGTGGAGAATGGGGTCCCTGGCATGGGAAGTGGGGGGAGCTCATGGAGCCACAGACAGGAGAAACTATGGGCTGTGGGAGGGTGGGAAAGGAGAAATGGGTGGATTGAGGATGTGCTGGGGCCCTGGCATGGGAGGGGATACAAAACCAGGGGGAGATGGGGGTGCACACAAAAGCACTGGTGTATGGAAACCTGGCAGGGGAGGAAGGGGGCACGCAGAGCCCCTGGCAGAGCAGGGATTGCAGAAGGTCCTTTCTGATGGGAAGAAGACCAACAGCAATGTGGCACAGGGGTGCTGGTGGATGCATGCAACCTTGGCATGGGGGAGAGCTGGGGATCCTGGCAGGGGGGAAAGAAAGAGTGTGGGCATGGGGGAAGGAGGGGAAGAGAGCATCTTGGGCAGAGGAGTGACTGGGGGTCCCTCGAAGGAAGTTGACTTCCCAGGATGAGGCGCAGCACGTGGCATCATCTGCCTTGTTGGGGTGGATCTGGGCTGGAAGCCCTGAGCACACTCGAGAGGCTTTTTTTAAAATAAAGCGTGAGGAACGCAGCCATCCCAGGTGCACTGGCTGTTGCCCAGGGTGCATTAGGGTGGCATGTAGGACAGCCACTTCTGTCCCTCCACCCCAACACCCTGCAAGCAGGCGTAGACAGAAGAGGACACCCGGATCTAAGCCCCCCGTTCCTTTTCAGGAGCAGCTACAGAACAGCTTGCATTTCTTGCAGCAAGAGAGGAAAGAATTCGACCCCAAAGGAGACGAGAAAAGCAATGACATGCTGGTAACTGTCTCCCCATCTGTCCATGTGTCTGTCTTCTGATCACCACGGTTCTTGAGGGCCTGGTGGGTGTTCACATCCTGCTGGGTTGATCCCCGGCGCTGGCAGCCCTGTGCGCAACCTCCACTGCATTGCTATGAGAGGGGCAAACTCTGCACTTAGCTGGGGCCTGAGCAGATGACGGGGACTGTCCCCACTTACGCGAAATGTGCACCTCTGTCTGGGACAGCAGGACTATCCATCACGAGTTTTGTCACCTACCCATTCTAGCTTTAGGAGCAGGTTGTTTCCCAGTGGGTCCCCAGCTTCCCTGAATAAGCCAGTTATTCCCCTTTTTCCCCTCTTCTTTTCTCCCACTGCCGCGGGCTCCCTTTCCAATCCCTCCCTCAATAGCTGCCATCAGGCCCCTTGTTTCCCACTCCCCGGCCCCTCTCACCCACACAAACCCACTTTCCATCCCTGCTGCTCCTTCTTGCCTCTTGTAATTTCAATCCAACCTCAGGCCTTCTCATCCTCAGGGACTTAGGCCTCCACATTAATACCAAGCTCAGCCTTTAGCCTCCACCACCCTCCCTTGATTTTTTTTGTTTTTTTTTTTTTTCCACCCCTGGATTGAGTGCCTTTGCACCAGAATGGCTGCTCACTTGACATTGCCTTCTCAGACAGATCAGACGAAAGTTTTGTAAGTCCTGTGTGATCGTTCTGCTCTCCTTAGGAAATTTGCAGGTGATGCCATGATGGATGGAGTTGCCGACACTCTGGAGGACAGGGCTAGGATACAGATTCCATTGGAAAAAATGGAGAAATGGTCCACAACCAATCACGTGAAACTCAGCAAGGACGAGTGCAAAGTCCTACGCTTGGGATGACTTTTTAAAAATTGAATTCAAGGGCTAATTCAGTTCCAAATTCAAAGAAGCAAAGCTCAATAACGGAATCTACAAAAATCCAGGGTTCATGTAACTCCAAATAGACCAGTATCTTGCATCCTGGGAGTTCAGATGCTCCCCATATCCAGACAGGAATGACATGCAAGTCCCAGGCCCAGGGTCCTGGGAGTCTGGATGCCCCCAGTCACACTTGATCTTAGCCAAAAAAAGTTGCATGCACAAATACAGGCTGGGGAATGGCTGGCCAGGCTGTAGGACTGCAGAGAAGGATATGGGGCTCACAGGAGCCCATAAGGTAAATGTGAGCCAACAGTGCATTCCTGTTGTAAAAAAAGACCACTAGCACCATGGGCTGTATTAACGGGAACATCACTTGCAAATCGAGGGAAGTGACGCTTTTACTCAGTTCAGCTGGCGAGGCCTCCTCTGGAGTCCAGTGTCCAGGTTTGGGCCCCATGCTTCAACCAAGATGTGGAGAAATTAGAAAGCCTCCAACACAGGACAACCAAAATTGTTAGAGGCCTGGGAAGCATGACTTCTGGACATGCTGAAAGGACCGGCCTGGAAAAGTTTTCAAATATCTGAAGAGCAAGTGTGAAGAGGGTGGTGATTAGACTGCCCTCCGTGGCAGCAACTAAGGGACAGGACCAGGAGCAATGGTCCTAAATTGTAGCCAGGGAAAATTTAGGATGGAGATGAGGAAGAATGCTTTCTCTCCCAGGATGGTTAGGCATTGGCAAAGGCTGCCCAGAGAGGACGTGGCATCTCCATCCTGTTTAAAAGTAGGTTGAGCAGACACTTGACTGGGAAGGGTTAGTCGGGGAAATCCTGCCTCAAGCAGGGGTCTGGACTAGGTGTGACTTCCTGAGCCCGACTTGTGCTTGAGTCTTGAATCTCTCCTTCCTCCGGCCTTTTACCCCCAGTGCTGCTTCTGCCCAACCACGACGTTGCCTCCTTGGGCAGCACTCGCCCTTTGGCCATCTCATCCACAAGCTCTACCATTCTGTCCCCTTCTCTCCGCCGTCTTCTCCCTGGGGCTCAGTTCCTGTGAAATCCCCTCCTCCCTCTCTTCCCCGCAAGATGTTTGCCCTGCCTTCCCCACACCAGACCTAACCTTGCACTCCCCCAGCTCGGGCAATGTTCTCGCATGCAAAGATCCATGAGAAGCAAAGCAGCTCCTCCAGGATTTTGCTAACCCTTCGCCCTGTTCCCGGCAGAGGCGGGTGGAGTCCGAGAGGCAGGACGTGTTGTCCGAATTTGAGCAGCTGCACCAGTTCCTGAGCGAGCAGCAGTGCCTCCTCCTGTCGCAGCTGGAAGTGATAGAAAACGAGGTTTTAAAGAGGCAGAATGAATATGTCACCAGGGTTTCGGAGAAGAAGTCCCTCCTTGCCACTCTGGTCACCGAGGTGGAGAAGAAGTGTGGCCAGCCTGCAACGGAGCTCCTCAAGGTGAGACTGCGTTGCAGGATGGAAAGGGCATGCTGTACCTTTCCTTCCTACCTGGTGCCACAGATTTACTGATTGCTACACTGAAATGTGGAGTTACATGCCACAGATTGGCGTATGTCGGCCGCGGCAGTAGCTCTTCCTCTGCGGTGGAGAGCAGCGCCCGTGGGGATACGTTCTGGAGCTCCAGAAACTACCTCCTGCCCAGTGCATTAACTCCCATGTGTCTGTCCTCTGGGAGCCTGTCCACTGACCTTGCAGCAAGGCCCATGGAGGCAGACCCTCTCCCAGGCCAGGGTTGTCTCTGCTCTGGGGGCCCCGATTCTGGAGACCTGTGAACGCAGAGTGACCCGGGGCAGGGAGGGCTCTGGGCTGCAATCCCCAGGTGCACCCAGGCAGCCCAAGGGACTTGCAGGTCCATCGCAACAGGTCGCTGAGCTCTGCTTTCCTTCCCTTTGCAGGATGTTGGCAGCACCCTGAGCAGGTACGTCCTGGGTCCAGCCTCCCATCTCATTCCCGCTCTGAAGCAGCGTTGAAGCCCCAGTCTCCCAGTGAAGCGGGGGAAGCGGGTTTGCACTGTGGTTATTTATTTATTTGACTTGCTTATTCTCTTCAGGTAGGGACTAGGCTCAGCATGTCCTAGCCAGTGGACCTGCTTTGTGGGCAGGCGAGGAGCTTCATAGCTTCATAGTTTCTAGGGTCGGAAGGGACCTGAGCAGATCATCTAGTCCGACCCCCTGCCATGGCAGGAAGAGCACTGGGGTCAAACGACCCCAATAAGATGGTCATCCAACCTCCTCTTAAAAACCCCCAGGGTGGGAGCCTGCACCACCTCACTTGGAAGCTGGTTCCAGACCCTAGCCGCCCTGACCGTGAAGTCGCGCCTCCTGATGT